CAGCGACTCGGCCTCCTGGCGCGCCGCCCTCCCGGCCAGCGCCTCCTCGCGCGACCGGCCCAGCTGGGCCTCCAGCTCCCGCTTCTCAGAAGCCAGGCGAGACACCCTGGGTGGAGGGGATAGAGGGAAGAGAGCGAGCTGGGGGGAAGCAGAGGGGCACGGTCCCTTCACCCCCATTCCACCACCATTTCGCCTCCCCCACAGAGGGGGAACCCACCACTCCCAGCTGCCCCCATGATCCCATCCTCTCCTCCCCTCCTCCCCCACGTGACCAGGAACCCGGCCACATTGCCCCTATCCAGCCCACCGCAGGACGCAGCTGTGTTGAGTTCTAATTCCAGAATATATCACTGACCTGCGCTCTATACCCTCAAAGCCTCCCTCTGGCCCCTGGCGGGGTCTCATTGCTTGTCATTCACCAGAAGCCTTTCTAAACCGCAGGTTCAATCAGGTCGCTACAGTGCTCAGAACCCTTCCGTGAGAAAAAGACGCGCACACGGGCTATTACCCGCAGTACTATTTGTGATAGCGAAAGAGTGGAAGAAATAACCAAAACGTACATCAACAGAGAACTAGCTGAATTCCTATGGAACATCCGCTAAACCGAGTACCACACAACTGTAAGAAGGAACAAGGAAGATCTCTATATCCTGCCAGGATTTAAGTTTAGAAACAGTGCAGAAGAATGTTTAGTATGTCTCTATATGAAAAACGGGGGAATTATAATTACATGTGCATAGTTTCAAAATTATATAAGAATAAATAAAAAAACTTTAAAACGGGAGGAACAGAGGTGGCAAGCAGGATACAAGCTGGACCCTTCTGAATGTACCCTTTTTTAGTTTTGAATTTGGAACTATGAAAATATTTTATGTAAATAAATTTTAACAAAAAGCAGTCACTAAAATATTTTTTAAAAACTGGCTCAAACAGATCTAACTGTACATCAAAGTTAGTGGCATACTGGGGAATTATGTCAAGTAACAAAACAAAAACAAAAACCCACAACACCTTATTTTAGCAAGTAGGAAATAGCCTAAGGGCAAAAAGAGCTGCAAAGAAATCTTCAACTTCATTCAGTACTCTTATTAGTAATTATATTGGTATTATCAGGATAAAGAAAATAAATAATTATTGGTATGAGGAAAGACATACAAATCAGAGGTTAAGTAAACACAGACATTATTTTTACATCTTTCTAGAAATGTATCTATTTTCAGGCTCTTTCCACTAAAGGGCCTAAAAGCAATGCTAACCCAATGGCAATGAGCACCCCTAACAACCAGACTGTGATCTCTAAATACAATTTCCCTCCAAAAGAAACCAAAGTTCCCTGGAAAAATTACTTATAACAGTTCTGAGGCTGGAAAGGCACAAGAAAGTCTAAAACATCTTGACATGCCAGAAAACAAGGAAGCCATCAAAGATTACTGGGGTCATTTCAAAAAGACATAGAAGCCAATAAACATTAATAGTGCCGGGTGGTGTACCTGACACACAGTATGAACTCGTTAAATGTTGGATGAATGAAGGAATAAATCTTGGAGCCTTCCCAAACTCCCTAACCTCAAATTGGCAAGAACATCAGAAGCCACTGTCAAGCTGTGGGATCTCAGTGCAGAGGGTGCCACCTTGTGGCCAGCCTGGGAAACACAGCACGTAGGCACGCCCACCAGGCCTGAGGGCCGCTCCTGAGGAGGAACTGAAGGTAGGGTTTATCCCGCTTCCAGCACCGCACAACCAGGGCTCTCAGACCCCTGAGCTCGCACACCCGCGAAGGGAGGGGCTGGTCCTCCCTGTCTGCGCTGAAGGCTCAGTCCTGGGCCAGCAGCTGTCAACAGTGCACAGTGGCTGGGGAAACCAAGGAGGCCTGGTTGCCTGGATTCAAGGTCTAGCCTGGCCATACTATTCACTGTGTGACCTGGGGCAAGTTTCCTGGGCCGTAGTTTCCTCCTCTATAAAATAATGATGATAGCACTGCCTCCTTTGTGAGGATCATATGAATGAAAATCATAAAGCACTGAGCAGAGTCCCTGGCACCACTAAATGCTCAAAAACATTTGCTACTGGTATTATTATTATTATTATTATTGTTGTTGTTATTTTTATTATTTCTACTACTACTAAAAATGTTAGCCCTCCCCAATGTGTCAGGCGGGGAGACCGTGTCCCCAGTTCAGCTCCCTTCAGCCCATAGCACGCAGCAGGCGCTCAGTATATCAAAAGCCTCTGCTCTCACTTCATACTTTCAGTGCCCTTGTTCTCACCACATTCCCACCTAACACAAGGCGTTTGCACATGCTGTTCCCTCTGCCCAGAACACTCTTCCCCACCCTCTTCTCGGACTCACCCCAAGACCCCATTAGGTTCCTGTTACAGCCATCCATAGCACAGGCTCCTTTCCTGACTATGTCCATCTCCTTTGCAATGATATACTCGGGTGCTTATGTGATCAAACCTATGCGCTCCCTGTGGTGGTCACTTACATGGGGGGCAGGGAGGGGACCAGCACAATAAAGGCGCTGAATATAGTACTTCCTCCCTCCCTGTCTTTGCACACGCTGTTCCCTTTGCCTGGAATACCACCCTTTCCCAGGCCCCCTTTCTGGGCTCCCCCACCCTACCCACTCTTTGTCTTCACAGACCTGTCTCCCCCATGGGACTGGGAATCCCAGGAGGGCAGCGCCAGGACTGTCTCCATCACCACTGTGTCCCCAGAACCACCCAGCAGAAGGCGGGCACAGAGAGCTCAGAATAAATACTCAGTGAATGAAGGACTGCAGTCCTCCCAACAGTGCTGAGCCTAGGGCCCCACAGTGCAGCATGAGATTTGCCCCCACCCAAGCCCCAACTGCCCACCCCTTCCAGACTCACTGCTCCCGCAGGTGCCAGATCTCGGAGTCTCGTGCTTCCCGAGGGTCCTGGCCGTCCAGCCCGCGAAGGCGGCCCAGCTCCTCCTTCAGTGAGCGGATGATGCCCTGAAGGACCACGGGGTCCGGCTTGCCCTGGTACGGGAGGGGCAGCGGGTAGTGAATCCTGAGGAGGATTAGAACCATGGCATCTCAGAGGCCAAGAATCCCTGAGGGCATCTAGCAGATCCCGAGAGCCTTAGGGTAGAAAACACACAATTCCAAAAACCTAACATCCCTAGAGGCTTAAGTTCCAAATGCAGCTTGGAGCCCCCTCCCTGTCCCCTTTGCACCAGTCAGCCACCCCTAGGACCTTCTTACGTAGCAACTGTGGAAACACTGGGTCATGTCACTTGAGCCAAGCACAATCCTAACTGAGATTCCACAGTAGGAGACTCTGGAGGACCTGACCTGGGTCCCCCTGGCTGGAGGAAGGTCGGGCACCTTGATGAACTGCCCCACCAGGTGCTATTCATAGAAGGTTGATAACTTCCAATTAGAAAATCCAGGAGCTATTAACAAAGGGAGCAGACTCTGTCCCCAGCTACCCAACTGCCAATCCCAACTCCCTTCTCCCTTGCTGCCTCTGGCTATAAAGACAGACAGCCAGATATAAAAAAACGATAAGGAGCTGAAGTCCCTAATGAAACTTGAGTTGTCACCAGCTACCTAGACATCTTGTTAAGTGATAAACTATTGTTTGTTTAAGGCACTGGTGATGGTTACCTGCTACTTGTAGCCAAACACAACACTAAATGACTAAAACCTCAACACTGAAGATTCCAAAGGCGAGATTTAAGCAACATCCCTACCCTGCCCTGGGTACCAGGAGTTCCTGAGGCCCAACCACATCCTCTCCCACCTGCCCACCAGCCTGGACCCAAAGCCAGCCCTTTGTCCCACCTGTCAAACTCCACGGAGTAGATCAGGATCAGGTAGCGCTTGGAGTTGAGCTGGGCTGACCTGGAGGCTGAGGGGCCTGGGCGGCCCCCCATCTTGCGGTTCCGCAGGGACTCCAGATCTGTGTAGGTCAGTAGGTCAAGGGTGACCGATTCACTGCTCTGTTGGGAGAGGGTTGGAGGAGCTACCACAAGACCCAACAGGGCCATACCCAGAGCACCCAACCCACACGCCTGGGCCACACCCCGGCCTGGCCTCTGGCAAGCTGGGCTGTCCTACAGTGCGCCTGACCCAGGAGCTGGCCCTGTCCAAGGTGCTGGCACAAGGACATCATAAGCCGGAGAAACGCGAAAGAACTAAAAGCTCAACCATGGGGGACAGCTTGGGAATGTGGCTGCCCAAGTACTATCCGCCAACCGCTGGGGATCCTTGAGACCCTTCCAGGGAGCCCAAGAGGTCAAAACAATTAGCATAATAATACTAAGACCTCATTTGCCCTTTGTGCTGTGCTCACATTTGCACTAATGGTGCAAAAGTAATGGTGGGTAAACATGCTGGTGCCCATTAGCAGAAATTCAGCCAGTGGCATCAAATGTTCCAGCAGTCACTGTCCTCTGCGATGCCCACAGTCTCAGTGGGGAGCCAGGAGGGAGAAATAAGCAAACAGATAGATAGACAGACGGACAGATAAAACGCAGGAAGTGAAACCTGGAAATGTTCCTGATGATGCTGTAAAAATTATTAATTGTACTGCATCTCAGCCCTTGCACTCACAGCTTGGTACTACTCTGTGTCCCGCTGCACTGTGCCACCGAATTTGCAGCTAAGGTGGCCACTTTTTCCCGGAACGCTCTTTTTACTTGGAAGAACCACTGACAGACAAAACCAGGGTTATCTAGCCTTGGGTGTCTGGCAGGCATTTTCTCAAAAATGAACAGAGTGAGTCTGTCACATCTAGAAAAACAGCTAACAGTATTTGTTGCCAATGATAAAATTCAAATGTCAATGCAAAAATCGGAATTTGGGAACCCTTGTATCTGCCACCGTGCGCTTGACAGCCTCGGGGTGTTTAAAGACCTTCCCGGTGAGATCAGTGAGGATATGAACAACTGTGGCTTCTTATAATGCCATGTGACAATATTTGGAAGAGCTGCACAACTCCGTGAATCAATATTTCCAAGTGACCAATGCGTGATGTTACAAAATAGATAAAATATCCAGGCAAAGTGTAAGACATGCCAGTAGATCTTAGTGTAACAGAATACAGAAAGTTCACTGTCTTTCAGAAACTCCCACCTGCCCCGTTTTACTGTGTTAGCTAAGGACACGCACAATGATCTGAAACTACGTAACTATGTGCAGCAGATTTTTCTGAATATTTCCACCAAAATGTATCACAACACTGAACATAGGAGCACAAAGGAGAACCCAGCAGTTTTCGATTAAGCCAGATATCACAGAGATTTGCAAAAATGGAAAACAATGCTACATTTCTTCCTAACTTATTTTTAGAAAATATATTTTCCATAAACATGTTATTGAGGTTAATCTGTAGTAGTTTTATTATTGCTACTTTTCTTTTTATTTTATTATTTTTAAAATTATTTTTATTTTTAAAATATATCTTTATTGATTTCTTTGATTTCAGAGAGAGGAAGGGAGAGGGGAGAAAGAGAGAGAAACATCAGTGATGAGAGAGTCATTGATCGGCTGCCTCCTGCACACCCTGTGCTGGGGATCGAGCCCGCAACCAGGGCATGTGCCCTGACTGGGCATCGAACCCTGATCGCCTGGATCCCAGGCCGATGCTCAACCGCTGAGCCACGCCTGGCCAGACATCGCTACTTTTAAATGAATTCATAGATATCTTTAAATTGTTCTTGGTTTTAATTTGTAATATGGCAACAAATATTGATAGGGAAATCCTACATAAATAAAAGCTCTTTGGTGTCCTCCTCAATAATTTTTAGGAGTATAAAAGGATCTTGAGACCAAAACGTTTCAGACCTCCTGGATTAGAGAAATCACAAAGAATGGGTACAATGGAATGCTAAGCAACCAACACGGACAACAAACTCAAAAGTCGTTAATAAAAAAATAGACGATACCTAAATAGCACTTATTATAAGTCAGGCATTATTCTAAGCTTTTTCATATGACTCATTTAATTTTCACAACACTAGGAAATGGGGACCACTATCATCCCCACATTACAGAAAGGGAAACTAAGGCAGTGAAGGGAAGTAACTGGCCCAGGCTCCCGGCTAGGAGGCAGTGAGGAGTCTGAATTCGGACTCCATGCTCTTGGCTACTATGACTAGAGATACTAAAATGTTACCAGTCTGGGGTGGGAGACGGAAAGGGGATCATGAGAGACTCACTTTCTAAGTCACACACTACTACTGTCACAATTCACGAGTGCACATTTTATCTGTGACTGGAGAAATAATGTAGTTTACAGTTTTCAAATGACATCTAAATAGCATGCCACTCTGAGTTTCGACCTGCTTTTTTGTTTCCTATTACTACTTTTAACTAGTCAGCATTACGGATATTTTTCAATCGTCTCTCTCTCCCACTAGAATGTGAGCTTCATGAGGACAGGGATTTCTGTTTCTTGGTTCACTGTTGTCCCCCATGCCAACAACAGCACTGTGACATGAATGACTGGCTCTATTCACTACTGTAACTAAACTTTTATAAAATATTGTCGAGTCTTTCAAAAGCAGGTTACAGAATCCCTGGGAACTGTATCAGCTATACAGGTATAATTATAGATCTGTAAAGGTGCACCCATGCACCACACACACACATAGGGGTTCACAAGTGAACAGAGAAATAAAGAAATAAAGAAATAAAGAAATAGAGTGGGTTTCAGCAAAATATTACCAGGAGTGAGGCTCAGAAGTGCAGTGCTTTTCCCTTTCTTCTTTACATTTCTTTGTGACCTGAGTTTTCCACATGAGAATAACTCATTAGAATCCAAACAAGCCATTTACATTTGGGAAAGAAACAGAAAAAGAGATAGTCCTGTCCCTTCCATGAAAGAGAAGACAGCAGGTCTTGCATACATCAGATGGGCATGTACCCCCCAGGAATCCAGGGGACAGAAACCTCCCCCAGCCCCTCGTCCCTACCTGGGTAAGGGCCGACTCCAGCATGTTACAGAAGATGTTGAACTGTTTGAAGTTCCCTGTCTTGTGAGTCAGATCTTCGATGACTGGGTGGGGAGAAAAGTCCTTCCTGAGGTCTGACCACTTGCGCCGTCCAAGGGCAATGCATCCAAGCTTTCTGCCTTTCCCCGACGCCAGTGCCTCTGGCCTGATGGATGAGCCCTACAGCCCCTCCCCACCTCAGAGCTTCTGGTCAGGTGGAAGGGGAGGGGGCATAGTGTCATCTAGGAGAAGCTGATCCCCGGGAAGGGCCGACAAGCCCACCCCAGGCGGGCACACTCACAGCTGGCGTCGAACTCAGCCCGCCACTGGTCAGCCGTCATCCTGTCCTCCACCTCCAGCTCCAGCACCTGCCCAGACACCGCCACCCGCACGGCGTGCTCCACGCCCCGGAAGACGTAGTCCACCTGCAGGCCAGATGGCTGCTCCATGGCCAGTGTCACTGGAGAAGGGGATGAGACAGAGGCCCAGAGGGGCTGAGAGCCCAGGCTCCAGAGCTGGAAGGCCAGAATTCATGTCCTGGCTCCACCATTTATCAGCTGTGGCACCTTAGGAAAGAGCCTTTGCCTTGGTTTCCTCATCTGGAAAATGGGTATAAAATGGCACCAACCTCATAGACTTGTCGTGAAGTTAAATAGGACAATACACATAAAAGTACTTAGAACTGCCCAATACATGCTGGCTGATAGGACATATGATTCCAGCAAGAGAATCATGATTAATACTATTGATTATTTATTAATCCTTATACTCATTATATATTTATTATTAGGTCAGGTGGGATAGATTTTAAACAGGGGGTCTGGGCAGGCCTCTGTGGGATGCTGACATTTGAGTAGAAAACTGAAGGTCAGGGAGCCAGCCATGTGACTCCCTAGGAAAAGTGGTCCACGTTGAGAGAGCAGCCAGTGCTATATATTATGAACGAAATGCTTAAATCATTCACATTGAATTAAAAATTGATTTTATTAGTCTGGTGTAAGCACAAGTACCTTCTCTTAGCCAACAGAGCTACTACTCACTGTTGGCTCTACAAGGATTCTAGGGGCTGGTAAGACTGTCCATGCAGAGGGAACAGCCAAGTAAAGGCCCCAAGGTGAGCAGTTCCCAGTTTGTTCTAAACAGCAAGAGGGGCAGAGTGAGAGAGGGAAGGGGTGAGTAATGAGAGCTGAGGTGTAACAGGCCAGATGGCGGTCAAGCAGGACAACTAGGCAGGATGATAGTGCCCATCTCCTTAGAATGGTGTAAGGATGAAATGAATTAATCATGTTAAAATCTTTGGAGAAATAGTCATGCCTGACACACAGCAAGCACTCTATACATACTGACATCGTCACTATTATTATTATTGTCATTGCTTTGTTGTTTCTGAGCTTGAAAGGGACTATAGAGACAAGGCAAGGCCATTCCCTCCCCAGTGTACAGAAAGGGAAACTGAGGCTCAGTGAGAAAAAGGGCCCTGTCCAGAGTCTCACAGCTGCTTCAAAGACAGTGCCACCCAGGGCTGCCCTCAACCCAGCTCATGGGGACCCCTCCAATGCCTGATCTCTTTCTCTCCCCATCGCCTCCTCTGGTCCTCACCCTTTCCCCAGGAAGTCCATTCTAAAGTCTGATACTGGGAAATGTCATATGATGAGGCAGAAAAAGATGAGCCCTGAAACTCTAGGTCAGTGATTTTTAACCTTTTTAGAGTCCTTGAGCCTTTGGGAATCTAATGAGATCTCCAACCCCTCCCCAGGTAAATGAATAGGCCCATAACTTTTGCAATTAATTTCAGGGGCCCCCAGAATACCACCTCCAGGCTCATCCATAGATCCCCTTTCTCAAAGGCCCAACAACTGTCTGAGCCCCACACGTCCTGACAGGCATCTGTCCCTAGACCCAAGCTCTTGACTTTATTTGGTGGAGGGTCCTCTGGTCTTGCAGGAGCTCATAAAATCTAAAGACCTCTTTCCCTGGGAAATTCTTGCAGTTGTGCTTTCATTCTCTGGGAGGTTCAGAGGTCCATACAGCTGCACATTTCAATGTACCTCTCATCCCTGGTTCCCAAAGCTGGGGCTCTGCAGCACAGGACTTGCCCCCGGGGTGCCCTCGACCCTGCCCACCCTGAACATACCACCCCCCTTCTGGGATTCCCCAGGCCCAGAGCCCCTCCCTCCTTTCTCCTTCCCCCTGACCCCCAAGCCCACCCTGTACTTCTACCTGCATCTTCCATTCGTGCTCTGTGACCAGTGGCCCATCCTGGTGGCTTGTTTTGTTCATCCCAAGTCTCTCCTAGCTCTTCCCCTGCGCAGCTTCTGGACCCCACATCCCAGCCAAGCCTTCGAGGCCCCGCCCTCACCAACCCTCAACACTTTAACGTGGTCCAAACACTAGTATGTGTCGGGTGGTGTTGTTATGAAGAAAGCGAAAAACAGGTGGTGAGGGGCCAGGGAGTGACAGAAGCTGTTTTAGCTTGCGTGGTCCACGAGGGCCTGTTGACATTTGAAAAGACACCTACAGAAGGTGAGGGAGCAGCGGTCTAGCTAAACATTTGGGGAGAACACGATCCAGAGGGGACAGCAAGTGCATTCTCCAGATGGGACTGTGGGTGCTCTGTTTGAGGGACAAGGGAGCCCGGGTGGCTGAAGCAGGGTGAGCAATGGGGGTGGTAGCAGGTGAGGGCAGGACGAGGGGAAGCTGGGTCACGAAGGGCCTTGTGCGCTTGGCAAGGACTTCTGCGTGAGGTGGGAGACACGGGAGGATCTGAACAGGGGAGCAACAAGATCCCCCTGGATGTAGGGTCAAAGGCAGAGGCAGGGATCCCAGTGAGGAGTTCACTGCAACAGACCAAGTAAGAACAGGTGGCGGCTTAGACCAGATGGTAGCAAGGGAGGTGGTGGGACCAGGCTGGATTCTGAGTGTTTTGAAGGTAGAGCAGATGACATCTGCTGACTGCCAAAGCACGTGTGGGTGAGAGAAAAAGGAGTGACTGACAATTCCAAGGTTTCTGTCCCGAGTTCCTGGAAGAATGGAAATGCCATCAGCTGGATTTGGAGGTTGAAGGGGTGGGGACCACAGGTTTGGTTTGGGACAAGTTTTTAAGGTCTGGATGTAGCTGGACTTCCAAGTAGAGTCGGCCATAAAGTTNGGTATGTTTTGAAGGTAGAGCAGATGACATCTGCTGACTGCCAAAGCACGTGTGGGTGAGAGAAAAAGGAGTGACTGACAATTCCAAGGTTTCTGTCCCGAGTTCCTGGAAGAATGGAAATGCCATCAGCTGGATTTGGAGGTTGAAGGGGTGGGGACCACAGGTTTGGTTTGGGACAAGTTTTTAAGGTCTGGATGTAGCTGGACTTCCAAGTAGAGTCGGCCATAAAGTTCACCAGGGAGAGCCAGACTGCAAATATCACCATGTAAAGACTATCTGAAGCCCCAAAACTGAGTGAGGCCACGAGGTGAGTGGTATAGTCAGCGANAAGAGTCGGCCATAAAGTTCACCGGGGAGAGCCAGACTGCAAATATCACCATGTAAAGACTATCTGAAGCCCCAAAACTGAGTGAGGCCACGAGGTGAGTGGTATAGTCAGCGAAGAGGTCATTCTACCCGTGACGAAGCTGAGGCACAGAAGGTTAAACAACTCGCCCGAGACACCTTATTGTTCGATGGTAGGGCCAGTGGCAAAGCCAGGATTCAAACTCAAGCGACCCAAGGCCAAAGCCCACGCTCTTAACCACACAACAGGGTTGTTAGAAAGTTTAAGAGTTCATTCACCTAACACACTTGATAGGTGCCTTGCACATAGTAAACCCTCAACAAAGGCTAAGCCTCCCACCTCATTAAAGCACACCCCCATCCCTGGAGGCCTCCTTCCCTCCCCCAATTTCTCTTCTTCATGTGCCCTCCCCCCAAATCAAAGCTGGTAACTCGTCGCAGGGACCTCCGCCCCTCCACACTGCGCCGTACTAACCCTCTGCCTTAAAACCTCCCATTAGACTGCAAGGCTATATATTATCAGGGCATTCCTATATTTTACCATCTGCTGTCTCCCGCTTTATACACTTTCCCCATTAAAGATCTTCCTGCAAAATACAAGACATCCTCTGCCTCAAAAACCCGCATTAAAGCGCCCACTCGTAATAAAGGACACCCCCTCCCGAATCCCGCCCTGCGGGGCGAGCGGCCCGCCGCAGCCCACTCTCCCCGAGGGCACCCCCTCCCCCCGGGATCGCCGTNCGCGGCCCGCGCACCCGCCGCGCTCTCCGCCTCTCACCTTCTCCACAGCCACCGCTCCACGCGAGCGGTTCAACGGCCGAAGCGCCAGCCCCGCCCCTGGACCCGGCTCTTTCACTTCTGATTGGCTCTGGCTTACTCATCGTCAAGTTCCTATTAGTCAAACAGACGCCCGTCACTCTGTCCCGCCTCGGAGAAGAACCCGCCCTGCGAAGCTTGCAATTGGCCAACTCTGAAGAGAGGCTCCGAAATGGTCGTCGGCCTCCTTTCCTATCGCGCCTGGCTACTGATTACTGCGGGTCATACAAAGAGGTTTGTTCCTTTGAGAGGGAGGAAATCCCGGAAATAGCCCCTTGACTCCACCCATCACCCCCTGCGACAGAGTAGGCCGCGCCCACGGGAATTAAAA